CCTTATTCTGAATTTTGAGCATCATCAGAATCACATGACTGCATGCAATGTACTGGAGCGCATCTTATCGTGATCCTGTGAGTGAGAGAATTTAATCTACAGATCATACAGAGGCCTTACATCTGAAAATCCCAGGACAAAACAAAAGCACCACAGTGTTTCCCCTAGAATTTTTTTCAAGGTGGGTGGACCCCCCGAAACTCCTAGTTTTGCGGAGCGGGCGTGGTGTCGTCACAGACATGGCACACAGATTTTTGCTTTTTTAGGTCTGCCACATTCTCTGATTTTCTTTGACATCTTTACTGGTAAAGTTACTCCCTCCTGATGGAGTTTGATATAGTTATGCTACATTCACGTACTGGATGACCAGACCATGGAAAGGGCCCTATGAAATCTGTTTAAATTTTTGCCAGATTCGGTCTTATTTTTTCCCTAATTCATATGGCACGTTTTGTCATAATAAAAAGTGTGTAATCAGGTGGTGAATGATTGAAATGTCAATAAGAAAATATAACAAATTTAACAATATCAATGAATTTGATGTATCATGCAAATATGCATATGGAAATATTAAAATGTATGTGTAATTATTTATGGGGACAATTCACAATAAATGCATTGTCCCTATCAAACCGGTTATTTCTTGACAGCCTCCATATGCTGCTGAATACACGGTAAGAAATTGGCCTGACAGAGGCTCCTCTCACGTGGGCAACACTCCTAGTATTAAAGTACATGTGTACCTGTTAAGCCAATACATCTAAAAATCATTCCTCTGATAATACTTCATTAATTGATTCAACAGTGTATATATACACTGGAATCATACTTATGTATCATCAATATAGTGAGTTGCCTTTTTATTTTTACTACATATGTATTAAATATATCTTGAGAGACAAGGATGTTATTCTTGTTTAGTTTAGTGTTTTTTTTGTTTTTTTTTTTTCATCAATTTATGTTGTTCAGGGTTCTTTGTTTGCTTTTTACTTTTAAGAAAATTAAGAGCACATTGACATTGACCTGAATTCATCATGTACACACTCTCATACCCACAGACTGCAAACATGTATTTGGCTGGGAGCTGGAGTGATGTTTGGAATTTGTCAGGCATGCTGATGGTGTTATTTTTGGACAAAGACAAATGCAGCTAAGACATACAAACAGCTGTTTCCTCATGTGCCAACCCCCTCTCTCTCTCTCCCCCTATCTATAGCCCCGCCCCTGAAAGCTCAAACCCCAAACAGTGCAGGCCCCACTTTTATTAAATTTCCATGTTTAATATCTTCCTGTCTTGCCTTCTTTCCATCTGCCATTTTGTTCACTCCTCTCTGTACTGTGTTTGCACTGCTGTGTCAGAGTTCAGTGAATGTTATTAGCTTTTAGGGAAAGTGTTCTGCTCCCCACCCTTGTTTCCAACTAGTCTGACATCAAACTACTTCATAAGGTGACATGGAAAAAAGGGGTTTGGTGAAGGCTTTGTAATATAAACACACACAGGTCAAAGCAGGTTAAACCTGCTGATTTTATTCCAGGAGTTACAGCTTTTAATTTTTATTTTTATTTTTATTTTAATACCAGTAACACTATCAATATTCATAATGTCAAATTGATGTGAATAAAGTCTCCTTTAGTTGTCTCCCTTTGACATCAGGGTCAGGGTCAGCTACAAAACAGCACCTCTTAAACTGGTACATGCTTCTGCAGGGCACATACTGTACACCCTGCTTACTAGACCACCTTGAATTAAAAAGTGTTGAAAATATTAGGTTGTTATAATAAGGTGTCTGCTTCACCATTGGCTTACTGTTTTGGTTTTAGAGACCTTCATTCTCACAATTATTAGGTTTAAAGTACAATAAATAAAAGCAAAAATAATTAGTCGTTCATTATTGGATTTGCAAATTTCTCTCTCTGCATGATACTCCTGTGAGTTTTTGTTGTAATCTTGACATGCCTGATACACGGACATACTACAGTGTCAGTTCCACCACCCCCCACCCCCCCCTCCACGGCACGCATACCAAAAGCTGAGGGAAGCAGCTGTGTAGTGTGTATCAGAGCAGATAGACAATGGAGAAAAAGCTAACATTTCCTGTTGAAACGGCCACTTTCTCTGTGTCTTTGGCCAACAATAACACCATTGGCACACCTAATACAAAAGGGACCGAGAAGCAGGCCAAAGGGGCAAATTGCTGGGCAGGTTATTGAGTTTATCTGGAGATCTGTGTAAGACTGCGGCCTTGAGTAAACACCAGAGACTTTTCTGAAGCGTCACCCGGTTCAAAACATAATTAACACAGGACTCACAAGGGGTATTTAATAGCAGACAATACACAAGCTTACGAGCTTGGCAGCATTATGTGTGTGGAATCACAGGAATGTTATTTTGGAAGGAACCAATTTAGCTTCTAGGCCAACTGGTCTGGCCCTGTGTTAAGAGACAGCTTGGCCAATATTATTCTGGGACAGAGCTGTGACGTAGCACGGGATGCTGCTGGTGTGGTGGGTGTAGGAATGCATTCACTCCTGGGATGCAGATGATGCAGGCAAGGTTTAGACCTTGGCAGAGGGATCGGTATAATTCAACCCAAACAAGCTGACTTTAGCCGCCCTGGGAATTTGCTGTCATCACTTACCTTAAGGTTAACAAAAATAAAATACTGTAGCAAATCAATCATGGCATTTGTGATGCTAAACAGAGACACTATTTCATTATAAATTAATGGTAGCTGAGGATTACAGTCTCCGCATAGAACTTGACCTGCAGGTCCTTCACAATGAAGCTCTTTATTGGTCAAATGTAGACAGGTAGCTCTTATTGATGTCTGTGAAGGGAGTTATAGCTGAATCAGAGCCTACAGTCTAAGTAAAATAAATTGAATGTGTTAATAAATGATAAAGAGCATTTAATGAACTAGGTTATTACTGAGTATTGGACCAAGGTGAAATATGCTTTTGATTAATTGCATACTGAGGCAAATGAACATAATATCCTGAGTGAATTCTTGTATTGTGCGTGTTAGCCTTTAGATCTGATCATGTGTGATTGATGGATGTTTTTGATGGTGTTTTTAGACATGGATAGCTCCAGAAATCATTAGTGCATCTTAATGCCAATGATGATGAGCTTTGGAAACTCTTTCACTCTGGACAGTTATACTGTCATCATTTTTAATCAATCTGGCCTCTGCATGCCCTTTTTTACTCTCTCTCTCTCTCTTTCTTACACACACACACACAAACTGTCCAATTAGCCAAACGCCATCTTTACTGTCTGAATGACCACATGCATCTTTCTCTCTTCACAGCTAATGATAATGATGGTTGTGTGGTTTTCTGTGCGTCTGTGTGTACTTGAGCTCATGCCCCTGCAACTGCAAAGTTATTTTTGTGTGCCTGCATGATATGATATGTCTTAACACATAGCTTAAGCAGACACTCAACCATTTCCAGACCTACAGCCAAATGACAGTTGGATCATTAAGCTCTAGCAGTGAGTGTTGCTCTAATTTAGCATGAAGCCGGTAGATCGTCCCCTCTTGCTGTGTGTGACCTTCACATTCTTGGAATGCATCTTGATAAGATGGGTGTTTTTAATACTTGTCAGTGGCTGTCATGAGCTGGGTTCTGCCAAAGCCTTGGAGCATACAGGCAATGACAACAAGAGACTCTCAAAGGTAATGAAATGAAAATACATGAGAGAAGCTGCAGTGATGGTGGGTGAGCTTTGTCACTTGAACTGACCCATCTTGATCAGTTTATTTTAAGTGATGAGAGAATGTGTTTAAAAAGTGTTCTGATGACCAGTGACACCTGGAGAAATCCAGGTTAATTAACATTTAACTGATTTTTATGTAGCATTCAGCTAATTGTAAGTTAAGTAATGTAGGAGCTTACACGAAATATACGTGATTGCTGTTCATAACCATTTATGTGCTCCAAAGCCAGGGAACTATAACAGCAAAGGTGTCTCTGGTTGTTAGCCAGGATATTGGAGCCATTTGGAGGCCACGGTCAGAGGACTACCTGAATGTGTTAAAAGTTCTGAAATGTAGCTCCAGCATTGCTGTTAACTGTAGTTGAGAATGGGAGGTTAACATACTATAGTTCTTGAATTCATCTTTAAACAATACCTGTCTTGGTATGAAGTAGTTGGATTTTGGATTGGCAGTAGGGAAGAGGGAACTCTGGCTCAGACAGTCCCAATGGGATGAGATAAAATGTGGATAACTCTAACCAAGCCAGTGAAGGATAAAGAAAAATATAGTATTTTGCAAATATGTGATAAACATCGAAAGATGAGTCTGACCATGATAACCCTAATTTGACCATCCAAACAGAGATGAATAAAAAAAAGCGCCCCCAGAAAGCTAAGCATACACTGCTGAAAACTGAGGTTAGGTTATTTTGAATCCATTTAATGAAGTATAATAAATGTGAGATTCCCCTAAGTTCAGCAATGTAGTCACTGTAAAGAATTGCCCCTTGGAGATTGTAGTATGTATATAATAGTTAGCATAATAAGATGTATATGTGTGTGTGGAAGCCCTTCATGACCGAGCTAGACTTTTGGCATTCAACAGAATTTTTCTAATTTCATTGCTTGTAGTTCTCCAATTAAAATAGTCATGTCACAGTGACAACTACCAGGAGTCATTTCATCCAAACATACTATTTTTGCTGCTTGCTGTCATAAACATTACATGCCATATGTGAGTCCAATTGAATGAGCCATACTTCAATTTGCTGGATCTATTGATATATTGGTCAGGTTTTTGTTGTTGTTGTTTTTTTGTTTTTTGATAAGCAATACTGTATGGCGAATCTTAAAAGTATTATCGATGGCAACACAATTATGTCATATTAAGTGACAAACAAAAACAGTTAAACTGCTAAAATGCAGTGCATTGACATAAGAATGCCACAGATCAACTCTAAATCTAAATGTTTTATTAAGCATTTTTAATCTGTGTTTTTGTGTGTCTGTCTCTTTCCAGAGGGAGTGTGTGAAATCTGGCTGACTAGTGAGGACACAGGAGCTTACGGTAGAGACATAGGGACAGACCTGCCCACATTGCTGTGGAGACTGGTGGAGGAGATTCCTGAAGGGGCCATGCTGAGGCTGGGTATGACCAACCCGCCATATATCCTGGAACACCTAGAGGTATGCACAGATTGCTGTCATCATTTTACCTGGTTGTACCATCAAAGATAATACATCACTGAGAAATAAAACTAAAATATGTAGGCTTTTCCTTTTCACCATTTTGTTTTTGTCACTGTTGTCTTTTGTGCTATCCCATTCTGTGAAAAAACAAAATTGCTTTGCCTAGATTTAATAAACTAAATGCCTTTCTGTTTTGCTTACCAAGCAGTTTATCTGCAGTGCTCATACACATTCATTAGTCCAGTCCATTCACTTCTCTCCCTAATGACTCAATTAAGGACCATTGTGTCCTCTTTAGCAACCTCATTTTATCAGTCATTATTGTCTTCCCTAATGGAACAATGGACATTGTTATCCCTTCTCTCTCTCTCTCGCTTTCTACTCCTCTCTCTCTCCCTATGTTTGTGCATGTCTGCCTCTGTCTGACAGACATGATTTTGTCTGTCATTTAAATGAGATGTTTTTAAATTGATTGTTTCTGGAAGTGTTAGGATAAATACATATTATAACATGTTATCACCATATTCCACCATCAATGGACGATAGCCATATCCGGCCTCTGCTTTCAGACATATCCACTTGGAGAGAGGAGAGGAAGGGAAAACTGAATGGCAGAAGGGTGTGTTGGAGATTTTTACTGAAAAGTTCTCTTCATTTGTCCAAATTATTTGGATTCATAAAGTAGGAGGCCTAAGAAAAATTGACACGTTTCTGTTTTGTGTGGTCAGTCTGGTCTGTAACAACAATTCCATTATTGTTGTTAAATCAATAAAATCAAGACAGCAGGAGGCAACTAGGGTTTTCTTCATGCGGTTATAGTATGTTTGTCACTATTAATGTTGTGAAACGGTTGTATTTATTATGGTAACGTATTTATTTATTGTGTTTGTGTGTGTCTGAGAAAAAGAATATAATGTTTTTGATACACCTATTGGCAAACCATGGTGTAACCTGTGAAATTACCTGAGTCATGCAGGAAGTCAAAGGTTTTAGTTGCCTGGTTGTAGGTCTGGCCTGAGTCCAGTCTGCAGGTCTGTCAAGCGCAACTCACCAGGGTCACAAAACTCAGATCAAACTGTCAAACTATGCAGTTGTGATCAAAGATGAATTTGTGTACCATTTAGCTGTAGCTTGAGAAAGTTTGTGAGCAGGTCAGCATTTTTTTTCCTGCTTGAAAATGGACCAAGCACTGCCCCAAATTGCTTGTATCACTGAGCGTTACGTCACACATTTCGTTGCTCTGAAAGGCCAAGCAAGTTTATTCGTATAGCACATTTCAACAACAAGGTAATTCAAAGTGCTTTACATAAAACATAAAAGCAACAGGGAAATATAAAAAAGTTTAAAAGCAACATGGGGAAATAGAAAAAAATACACATTAAAATATAATAAAAGTTACAGTGCAGTGTACAATCAGGGTTAAAAGAGTTAAATGGAAAATAAAAACAGGCTGAGGGGGTAGCGCAAATAATTGAGTTACAGTTATTTTTTAGATGGGTTGTAAGTCTATACAATTTTGTCCAGAGGCATCTTGGTCTGTGCCCATCGATAATGCTTGGAAATCGAAAATTAACTGAGAGCTTCCAGACTAATATGCTTCTCTGGATTAGTGCTACAAGGTATACCAGGGACAGGAAAGACTTAAATGTTAAATAGATAAACAAATCAGGCATTATTGTTCATACCGAAATGCTTAAAACTAAAAAGGAATTAATGTAGGATGCTAATGCTAGCGAAGCCAGCACCTATGAGAGGCACAAACTGAGTATTAATCCAACTGTGAGGCAATTTTAAACCTAACTTAAATTTTATTGTTATATTATGTAATTCTGTATAATGTTATGGTTTAGCAGTATAGTGTATGGAACTACACCCGAGAGTAGAGTGTTTGGTAATGGTGACAACCAGACATGAACCTCTCATGAATAAGTTCAGTGTGTTTTGAACGGATCATGTGCATCTTCTGCTGTATGAATAGGGACATAACTTGCCTGGTATAGAGTATGATGACCTGGATACCATATTGTGCCAGACAGATTTTACTTTAACAAGGGAGTATTAATATACTCCTTTGTATGTTTTATCATTTATTTAATTATGTATTGATTTGTCACCGGGCCGGACAGGTGGGCAGACACGGGGATAGGGGGGCACAAACAGACAGCACAGAGAAAGGACAAGACCTGTAAGAGAAGGGGGATGGAAGGTGGGGACAACAGGGAAAAGCAGTGGGAAACACCAATTGCAGAAAGCAACGAAACCTGTAATAGAACAGAGAGGGGGGCTTGGGGAGGAGAAAAACAACAACAAACAAAAACAAACAATAAAAATAATAATAGTAAAAGACAACAAGCCGAATAGCAGAAATAAACAGCTGACATAGTAAGACAACTAAGAGAAAAATGAAAACAAGAAACAGTCACACACACTAAATAAGCAACACAGCACAGCCACGAGAGCTGGAATAATAATTAATTTAAATAAGTAACTGAAAGAAAAGCATCAGGAATAATTCTACCAGGGACAACCTAAATTTGTTTGTGTCTATGTGTGAGACTGTGTGTGTCTGTGTGCGTGTGGGTGAATGTGTCTGTATATGTGTGTGTACATGTGTGTGCGCATAAGCCTGTTAAAGAATGTAGTTGTTAGTGAGAGTGGGACGCCACGACTGTGCCACACCGACCCCAGCAACAGGCAGGCAAGAACCAAGAAACAAGACATGGGATGTAATATGGTGACTGTAACCTAGAAAGCTAAAATTAAACAAAACTTTAAAAAAAAAAAAAAAAAAAAAGCCAGTGAAGTTAACAACACATATACTTTTGGATCAAACAATCAAGGAAGATTGGGGATCATATATGAATGAAATGAGGGCAGAAATAAAAAAAAAAAAAATGGGGATGAAGGCCTGGGGATAGAGATGGGGGTAAAAAGGAGTGGGAAAGTGCTGTGGGAAGCAGCAATGGAGGTTGTAATTAACCAGGGGTTAATGGAGGTGGCTAATTGTCCCCCACATGTATAGGTAGGCTTTCTGCTTGGCTACATTACAATTAAAAAACCACCCTCCTAATGATAGGGAATAACAATTAACTTATAATTAGAAATATACTAGGACGACATATTAGCTTGATCTGTGTGTGTGTGTGTGTGTGTGTGTAAGAATTATTTCATATGCTACCGGCCCTTTCATTGTTAACGTCCATGCATTGAATTGAATTATATCTTTTTTTGCTTTAATTCCTCAGTCAATTAACCTACATAAGGAAAGATAAGAGTGCTCTTCTTTAACTTATCATTGTCTTTTGTTAGGGGAGAGGGTGAATGGGGGACATTTACCCTTTATCCTCTACCCTCTTTTCAGCTCTCTCCTGCCAGCACACACACACTTCTTATATTGTCAGTGATTGAGAGCCCAGCACATAAAAGAAAAACCTGCCAGAACTCTGAAAGTTCCCTTCTCACTCTTCCTTGAGTTTAAAGGGATGCTATATTAGGACACTCATCATTTTGTTTTTCTCCAGGGCCGAAGTTGATGCTAACTTTGAGGCTAACCCCCTTCACTCTTTATTCAACAATTGGCAAGCAACACTAGGAAGCTAAGCTTTAGTCTTGAGAAGATGCAGTCTTTATGCACAGGCCAATGTAACACTGCTAAACAAGGCTTAATGCTGACCCATTTATTTATGCTGCTATTGACAGGGACACCTGTTCACGCACTTGCTCCTTCTCTTCCTCCTGTACCGCACACACACTGACCGCTGTGGCAAAACTAACAAAGCAAACCACTTGGGATCAGCCATCACAAACGCGACAACATTAGGACAACACAGTACTGAGCAATCGTTTGTGTGAAACAGCAAAGCTAATGTCTTACCTGTCGAGCAGAAACGGCGTAACCTCTGCATCAGTTTTCACTTTTATTCAGCATTGAAAGCATCATCGATGTTAACACAGGTCATATAACTTGTTTTACAACCTGTACTCGGCAGACCTTTTCCTCCCATGATGAGTCCGGCATGTTCGAATGTACCGGTGTTAATTTACAACGTTCTCTTTCCCACTGCTTCGTGCACAAATGTTACCTCCACCTGTTGCTGATTGGCTGGGGCAACGTTGTGGCTGCTTGCTCCGAGCAGCTTTGTTTGTGTTCCATTTACAGACACAAGGCTATGACGGAATACCAGATTTCTTTTTCAGATCATACAAGAAATGGAGAGCTAGCAACCCATGAGGAAATTTATTTGCTGAAAGTGTATTGTATTAGAATCGCAAATTATCCCTTGAAGTCCTCTTGTTTCTTCCACTATTAGCTTTTTCTCCCTCTGGCCACATTTCTCCTTCTTGTTTTTTTCTTTTCTTGTAATTCTTCATATTCTCCTTGTCCTTATTTCAATTTTTTCATCTTCCCACAACTATTATACTCTTGTTTTTCTTGTCCTAATTACTCTTCCTTCACCTCTTCTTCTGTCAGTTTTCTCCAATTCCTCTCATGATGGCAGTAATCACAGCAAAAAGAACGGTGTGATGATGAAATCTCCAAAGTAGATCTATCCTTCATCTTAAGAAAAGGCCAAGTTCTAACCCTCTATCTCTTCTTTTGAAGAACACAGCATCATGCCGAATGGCTGTGATTAAAGCTGAAAAGGCCGAGTAACCTCTCCACTTCCACCTAAAAGATCACCCTCTTTAACACATACTCGCTCAGATCAGCACTTTTGTAATGTCTCCCTTTGACACAAAAGAACATACATTTTCTGCCTATGTGCATTCAGTTTTTTTTCTGACAAATGTAGACAGCCTCATAGCACCATTTGCTGATTGGAGCAGTTAAAGGCCCATTCACCTCTCATGGGCCACTTGTCTCTGACATTTTAGTTGATTGCATCGTGCTGTCAGTGGACATTTTTACTTGAGTAGTTGCAAGTGAAAATGTCTCCAAGCAATGCTACTTCTTTGTTTTTCACTTTACCGACATTTTTTTTTTCTCTTTAGACTTC